TTATTCATCTTGCTTGACTGAAACTTTATGCTGTTGATCAGCAAGTCCCCATTTTTTCCTCCCCCCAGTCCCTGGAAATCAGTTTCTTCTTTAATCCTATGAATTTGACTGTTTCAGTTTTGTAAGTTTTGTAACTTTAATAAATATATATATATATTTGAGTTGGATTCTCACTCTGTGGCCCAGACTGGAGTGCAGTGGCATACTCAGGCCACCACAACCTCGACCTGCTGGACTCAGGTGATCCTTCTGTCTCAGCCTTCCAAGTAACTGGACCACAGGTGTGTGCCACCACGCCCGGCTGATTTTTTGATTTATTGTAGAGACAAGGCTTTGCCACCTTGCTCAGGCTGTTCTCAAACTCCTGAGCTCAGGCAGTCCTCTCGCCTCTGCCTTCCAAAGTGCTGGGATTACAGGCATGAGCCACCATGCCTGACCAAGTTTAATAAATTTTTAAGTCAAATTTTACAAGTGGAATTATATAGTATTTTTCTTTCTGTGACTGGCTTATTTCACTTACCATAATGACTTCAAGGTTCACCAGGTTGTCACATATTGCAGAAGTTCCTTCTCTTTTAAGGCTGTTTGTTTGTCTATATTAACTTTTCTTTTTTTTGGAGTTGGAGTCTCACTCTGTCACCCAGGCTGGAGTGCAGTGGCCGCTCCTGGCCACCGCAGCTTCAACCTGCTGTCCTTCCGCCTCAGCCTTCCAAGTAGCTGGAACTACAGGTGCGTGCTACCACGCTCGGCTGATTTTTGATTTATTGTAGAGGTGAGGTCTCACCAAGTTGCCCAGGCGGGTCTTGAACCCGCGGGCTCAGGCAATCCACTCACCTCCGTCTCCCAAAGCGCGGGATTACAGGCTGAGCCACTGAGCCCAGCTACTAACTTTTCTTTATCATTTCACATATTGGCTATTGTGACTAGTGTTGCAATGAACATGGTAATATCTTTTCAAGGTCCTGATTTCAGTTATTTTGTTTCAATATCCAGAAGTGAGATTCCTGGATCATATGGTAGTTTTTTAAATTTTTGATGAACTTTCAGACTATTTTAATGGCTGCACCATTTTGTATTTCCACCAATAGTGTGTAGGAATTCCGGTTTCTCCACATCCTTACCAACACTTGTTGTCTTTTGTTTTTTTGATAATTGTTATCCTCACAGGTGTAAGATGATATCTCATTGTAGTTTTGATTTGCATTTCCCTAATGATTAGTGGCATTAAGCATCTTTTCATATATCTGTTAGCCATTTGTACTTTTATTTGGAGAAATGTCTATTCAAGTTTCTAGCTTGTTTTTTAGTCAAGTTATTAATTTTTTTGCTATTGAGTTGTAGAAGTCATTTACTGTGTACAGTGTTGGGCATCTTTTCATTGTTTTAAGGGTCATTTGCATTTCTTGTTTTATATGGACTGTTTATTTCTTTTGGTTTCTTGTATATTAGGTATTGTCTTGATCTATTTTTGTTGCTGTGAAAGAATACCTAAAACTGGGTAACTTATAAAGAAAAGAGTTTTATTTAGCTTATGGTTCTATAGGCGAGTACTGAGAAGTATAAGAAGCATGGTGCTGGCATCTGCTTGGCTTTTGTTAAGGGCAACATGCCATGTCAAAATACAGCAGACAGGATCAAAGGGGAGGCGAATGAATATATGTGACGAGGCAAAGGCTGAAGGGCATCCTTGCTTTATAAAGACCCACTCAAACCGGGTGTGGTATGTGTGTCTGTAGTCCCAGCTTGGGATGCTGAGGCAGGAGGATCCCTTGAGTCCAGGAGTTGAGCTCTGGCTGCAGTGAGCTGTGGTCTCACTGGGGAGTGGCCACCGCATTCCAGTCTGGGCAACAACATAGCGAGACCCGGTTTCTTTAAAAACAGAAACACTGCTCTGTGGGATTGAATCCATTCCTGCATGAGTGAGCACTTACTCCCTCGGTGATGACATTCATCTGTTCATGAGGTCTCTGCTCCTATGACCCAAATCCCCCTTCCCTCGGCCTACCTCCCAATGCTGCTGTACTGGCAATCAAACTTCAGCAGCAGTTTTGGTGGGGATATTCCACACCAAACCATAGCAGGTATGTTATACCTTCATCTTTGATATGAGTTGCAGTTTTTTTCTCCAAGTTTGTCATTTGTATTTTTCTTTGGCTTAGATTTTTGTAAGATTTTGTTTTAATTTTGGTTTTGCCCTATAAAAGCTTTTAAACATTTTTATATAGTCAAATCAGTCAGTCATTTCCTTTATACTTCTGCATTTCGAGTTATAGTTAGAAAAGTTTTCTTCACTCACAGGTATAGGGTAATTCACCTGTGCTTTCTTTTAGTACTTGCATGTTTTCTTTTTTATATTAAGTCTGTTCCAGTTGGAATTTATCCTGCTGTTTGTACAAGTAATACATTTAGCTTTATCTTTTTCTATATGACTATTACATTATTTAACACTTCTTTAAAAGTTCCTTTCTGCACTGATTTAAGCTACTGCCTTTGCCATGTGTCATATTTCCACGTGCACTTGGGTCTTTCTGGATATTCTATGCTATTCACGGGTCTGTCTTGTCTCTTCATTTGACAGTACATTCTTTTTTCAATTTTAAAAATGTGATATGTGATATTATAAAATACGTATTTGGTCTTTGACCCCGTTTCCTGGCATGCAAAAGTCCTAAGATCCTTAGAATCTCCAAAGTGATATCTTCTTGAATGCTATTAAGTTACCTGATGGCTGGCAGTCCCTAGGTGTTTTCAGGATGGAGGCTGGTCACCTGAAAGACCAGGGCATGATTAGAACATTGGGACTTTCACCCCTTCCCCACAATGTCTGGGGAGGGGAGAGGGGCTGAAGGTTAAGTTTATCACCAGTGGCCGATAGTTTAACCATCGTGCCTAAGTAGTGAAACTTCCATAAACCCCCGAAAGGACAGGGTTCAGAAAGCTTCTGGATAGCTGAATGGGTAGAAGCTCCTGGAAGGTGGTAGGTACCCTTTGGGAGGGCATGGAAGCTCCACGCCCTTCCTTCATACTTCATTCACCCTGTACATCTCTTCATCTGTATCCTTTGCAATGTTCTTTATAATAAACCGGTAAACATTTCCCTGAAGTATTTCCCTGACTTCTGTGAGCCATTCTAGCAAATTAATTAAACCCAAAGGGGGACTGTGGGAGTCCCGACTTGAAATCAGTCAGTTAAAAGTTCTGACTGGAAGTGGTGGCTCATGCCTATAATCCCAGCACTTTGGGAGGCCGAGGTGAGAGGATTGCCTGAGCCCATGGGTTTGAGACCAGCCTGGGCAACCTGGTAAGAACTCACCTCTACAATAAATCAAGAAAGATTAGCTGGGCATGGTGGTGCGCACCTGTAGTTCCAGCTACTTGGAAGGCTGAGACAGAAGGATTGCCTGACCCCAGCAGGTCGAGGCTGTGGTGGCCGTGAGTGTGCCACTGCCCCTAAGCCTGGGTGACAGAGCAAGACTCGAAATGACTCAAAATAAAAAAGTAGATATTTTCTCTTTCTTGCCAACTATCTCTCAGGTACCTTGTTTATTTCTCTCTTTTTTGGATGAATTTTAAGTCAAAAAGATGTTCCTGGCTTTAGGGATTTGGCTCTGCAAGATGTCCGATGCCTAGAGGAGGAAAGTGACCACTAACTTCCAGACCCCATCTTTCCTGAATTGTTTGTATTTCTTTTAGAGACTCTAAGGTGTGTGTGTGTGTGTGTGTGTGTGTGTGTGTGTGGAAATTAGTTGATATATAACAGAAAATTTGCCCTTTTCAGGCTTAGTTTAATAAATTTTGGAGAAACTTATACAGTAGTGTTGCTGCCACCACAGTCGAGATACAGAATATGTTCATCACCGTGTGCCCCTTGTATCAGTAGCTCCTAACCTCCAGGCCCTGGCAACCACTGATCTTATTTCTCTACATGTAGTTTTACCTTTTCCATAGTGTCATAAATGGAATTATTGTCTTTTGAGACTGCCTTCTTTTACTTACCATAATGCTGTTGAGATGTATCCATGTATCTGTAGTTTGTTCCTTTTTGTTGTTGAATAATATTTCCTTGTATGGATATGTGATAATTACTAGTTTGTCAATTGGTGGCCATTTGAGTTGTTTCCCAACTTTGATGAGTGTAAATTAAGCTGCTGTAAACATTTGCACACAGATTTTTTACAGAGATGTTTTCATTTCTCTTGGGTAAATACTTTGTAATGGGATTGCTGAGTTATACAGTAAATACATGTTTACCTTTATAAGAAACTGAATGGCCATTCTTCACAGTAGCTGCCATTTCATTGCAGTGTACCATTTTGTATTCCTGTCAGCAATGTATGAGAGCACCAGTTGCTGCATTTGGTATTTTTGGTTTTTAAAAAATTTTAGTTTTCATGAAAATTTAAAAAGTTTTCATTGTCATGTAGTAATATCTCATTGTGGTTTTAATTTTATGACTTTGTTTTTAAAACTTTGGTAGAATATAAAGCTGTTAGTTATCTAAAAATATTTTAAGAATAGTCATTTTTATCTAATGAATATCTAATGAAACTGGAAGATAAAATGTTGTCTGTCACCTTGCTTATGTTTTCCTACCCCCAGTGCAGTGGGCTTGGTGATTCTTTTTTTTTTTTTTTTTTTTTAAATTCTGGAAGGTTCTCGGGTTTTCCATTTATTTCCTCTCAAATTTTATTTTATTTTTTTAAACTTTAAATTTTTTTATCTTAAAGATGTGGGGTATGGTGACTCTTAAGTAACCAATCAAAATAAACAATGGACCACATAACTAAGGAAGGCCACTTATCATTTATCTATTTGGAAGAAATATAATATTTTGATGGAAATGTCTCAGTATTTTCAAAGCAAACTTTAGCAGTTACCCTGATTTAATGAAAATACAGCTAAAAATGATGTCTTCTTTATGTGTCTATGAAGTTTGTAAGTTTTTGTTAAGCCTGTCATACTGAGACAAAACGATGTTAAGTTTCTGTTCATTTACACAGGAAGACGATGAAGAGTCGCTATGTGGAACTCAACGACCTTAATAAAGACTTGCTAAATGAATATAAAATTCGCTGTAACAATCACACAGAGCTATTGGGAAGCCTCAAAGCAGTAAATCAAGCAATTCAAAGAGCAGGTTGTCTGCGCGGTAAGTCTCTTTTCATAGCACTGTCATTTTTTGGGTAAGCATTATTGAAGATGGTGGTGGCACTAAGTATTTCATATTGGGGATGAAGATAGCATAACTTTTTTTTTTTTTTTTTTTGAGTCAGAGTCTCAACTTTGTCGCCCAGACTGTAGTACAGTGGCATGCTCACAGCCACTGCAGCCTCGACCTGCTGGGCTCAAGCGATTCACCTGCTGGGCTCAGGTGATCCTTCTACCTCAGCCTTCCAAGTAGCTGGAACCACAGGTGTATGCCACCACGCTCGGCCAATTTTTAATGTATTGTACAGACAAGGTCTTGCCAAGTTTTCCAGGCTGGTCTCGAACCCCTGAGCTCAGGTAGTCCTCTCACATACACCTCCCAAAGTGCTGGGATTACAGGCATGAGCCACCATGCTAGGCTGATAGCATACCTTTAACACTCCAAAGTTGGCACCAGTCACTTGAATTTCAGTCTTTAGCCTACTCTTTGACTTTAGCTAGTCTCTAGACTTCAGAGGAAAAGAATACCTTCAGCTCCTTTTTTAGATCTTGCTGCATCCTCTAAAGAAAAATCTAGTGTATAGACCTCAAAGGAAATACATACAGAGACCCCATTAGAAAAAAAGAAAAGGAAAATTAATGAGTTAAGTGTCCAACTTAATTTAGAAAAAGAATAGTAGGATAAACCAAAGGAAGCAGAAATATATCCAGAGATTTATGCTGTTTAGGGTCAATGCTTTGACCTCTTTAGAAATAATCTTTGGGCCATATATGGTATCTCATACCTGTAATCCCAGCACTTTGGGAAGCTGAGGTGGGAGGATCACTTGAAGCCAGGAGTTCTAGACCAGCCTTGTCTCTACAAAAAATATAAAAAACTAGCTGGGCATTGTGGCTAGCTACTCATATTTCTAGCTACTGGGGAAGCTGAGGCAGGAGGATTGCCTGAGCCCAGGAGGTTGAGGCTGGAGTGAACTATGATTGTGCCACTGTACTCCAGCCTGGGCAACAGAGTGAGACTCCAACTAAGGGGGAAAAAAAAGAAATACTCTTTGGTTGGGCTTGGTGGCTAATGCCTGTGATCACTTTGGGAGGCTGAGACAGGGGGATCACTTGAGACCAGGAGTTCCAGACTAGCCTGAGCAATATAGTGAGACCCTGTCTCTACAAAAATAAAAAAAAAATTAGCTGGGTGTGGTGGCATGTACCTGTAGTCCCAGCTACTCAGGAAACTGAGGCAGAAGGATTGCCTAAGCCCAGAAGCTCAAGGCTGCAGTGAGCTATGATCTTGTCACTGCACTCCACCCTGGGTGACAGAAACCCTATCTCTAAAAAGCAAAAGGAAAATAATCTTTGCTTAGGTGGATATGAGCTTTGTCTTTTTTTGTAAATTCAACTTTTGGCATCTCAGTTTGGCTTCTCTGTTTTGTGATACATTCTATGATAAATTCCCTTTTTTAGGGAATGGTAAACTAAATTGCTAAATTTGCATATCTAACTCTTTTCTATCCTAGTTTTAAGCTATTTTAAAACTGGCCTCTAATTTATAATTTCACCTTTTTTGAGCCTATTTTTCTGCAGAATATAATTTCTCTTTCTTTTTTTTTTTTTATGTCCGTATCTCTCTCTTGCCCAGGCTGGAGTGCAGTGTCATGCTCACAGCCACTGCAGCAGCCTCGACCAGCTGGGCTCAGTAATTTCACTTTTAATAATCTTTGTTCTCAATGATTCTTCTCATATAGTTGGAAAACCAAAGAACCAGGTGATCACTGCTTGTCGGGATGCAATTCGAAGCAACAACATCAACACACTGTTCAGAATCATGCGGGTGGGGACAGCTTCTTCATAGAACAGGAAAGGATAATGGAGTTCCTGGAAAAGACTTTCCCTTAAAAATCTAAGCTGGTGTGCTTTGAATCATCCTGGTGAACCCAGGGTACTAAGAATGAAAACAGCCTTGGTGAGTTGTAAAATTAAAGACAAAGCATTACATCTGAAGAATATACTCACTTTCTATTTTTAAATCAGTGGTACTATTGCTGAATAATACTAGGATTGTATGGAGGAGGAACACTTTTGAAATGGTAGGACTTTAAGTCTAGTTTTTGTTTATTTATGTAAAGTTGGTGTATAAATACGTATTTTTTCTTGAAACTGTAATTGAATTTGTAATCTTCAAATAGATTATCTACTTTTTCATTAAAATTTAAAGGTATTGAACTTTGTGTTGACTGATTGTAAAACCATCACCAAGTCAGTTGCATAAACAGTTTTGTATTTTGTGGACAAAAACCAAAAATGTGGATATCTGATTTGTGTGTCTTCTTTTCAATCACCAAAAGGTAGGTGTAAACAACTAATTTATATTAAGGAAGTGCTGGGATTAGTTTATACCTTTTGAGATTAAAACCTCTAGTTGGTGCTAATTTTAAATTGTATGGTGCCATTTGTTTTTAGGGACCCTAATAAAATAATTTCATCAAGGGGGTTAACCTGCAACAAGACTCTTGAAGTCTTCCTGAATTATAGGCTACTTTCACATTAATTCTATCCTTTTGATATTAGTATCTCTATTTTACAGATGAGGGCTCTGAGCTCAAAGGCAGAATGTCCTGAATAGGCTCTCACATCTGGGTAAACTGGCTTGAAGGAGGGTTTGAAACTAAGTAATCATGACCTTTTCTGCTGCTCCAGACTTCCCAAGCAATGAAAACATTCATAAAATACTCAACTACCCTTTTTCCCCCGATATATTTTATTTTTTATTTTTATTTTTTTGAGTTGGAGTCTCACTCTGTCGCCAGAGTCTCACTCTGTCGCTCCTGGCCACTGCAGCCTCGACCTGCTGGGCTCCAGCGATCCTTTTGCCTCAGCCTTCAAAGTAGCTGGAACTACAGGCACGCGCTACCACACCCGGCTAGTTTTTTTTTTAATTTTTTATTGTAGAGATGAGGTCTCACCAATTTGCCCAGGCGGGTCTCGAACCCACGGGCTCAGACAATTCACTCACCTCAGCCTCCCAAGGTACGGGATTACAGGATGAGCCACCGAGCCCACCTTTCCCCCCCCATATAAAAGTCATCATGTTGGGCTTAGGGATCAGAAAACTGGACAATAAAAAGTTTTACCAATTCCTTTTCTATCTTGTTGCCACACTTTTCTATCCTGATAAAATCTAAGTGCCTGTAGAAGCTAGAGCTAAGCTCTTGTTTCATTGCTGAATTACATTGAAGCTTTAAGTGAACAATGAGCCATCATTTAAAAGCTTATTTTGAGGATTTTGGTATCTGGGAGAAAGCTTTTCAGTCCTATTTTGAGCATCCCCTTTAAAAAAATTACCTCCTCGACCCATAATTCAGGTACCGAATATTTTAAATACAGTATGGTTTTTGTCATTTCCTACCATGACTGCCTATCCAGTACATCAGGGCTCAGCTCAAATATTCTCTCCTCAGGAGACCTTTCCTATGTCTGTTCCTTAACCCTGATTAAATTCGGTTATCTGAATCCTAATCCCCTATTAAGTGAGAATAGCATCTGCATCTTAATCAGCTTCTTCCTCACCACAGCGCTGAGCCAATACCTTGAGCATAGAAGAACATCTGCTGCTCTCCTTGGAACTGTCTGTCCTCAGCAAGCCTGTCAGCAGCTTCAGAAATCACAAAACTAGAAACTCAACTGTTATGCAACCCTAGAAGTGTTTTACAAGAATGATTTTCAACATTGTTATTAATGTCTCAAACTTTATATTAGCAGTGACAAATCTGCCAATGCTGAGTCCTGTGATAAGAGAACTAAATTATCTCCAATTCACTTTGAAACTAAAATATGATTAAACACCCATTACAGCCTGGTGTTTTGCATTTTGTCTTTTTCCCATCTGGCCCCTGCCCACACTATCTGCTCTAACTCCTGAGTCATCTTGTTATCTGTATAGTACAGAATCTGCTTTTCCTAAAAACGATGCACATGGACAGTTCCCAAGTTGTTTTTAAGTTTTCTATAGGGACTGATTTTGCACTAGAAAGGAATCATCAGGATGTCCAGTTCCCTGAAGGCTGGAGAGCCTGCTGGCATCACGTCACTACACCTTTTAAACCAGGTTTGCATTTCCTCACTCAGTTTTAATCATGGGAATTATGTATTGGTGTTGAGAGGATGTATCCAAAAACTTCTTGTTGAAGCAATACTGGTCTAGGAGAGGTAGTCCGCCATTGACTTAAGTTTGGTGTTCTGTGGGGAAGAAACATCCATATTCAATGGAGTTTGAGAGGCAATCTTTGAACAGTAGACAAATCAGGTTCATAACCTAACGGCCTTTTTCTCTGAGACCTCATTTTCTGAATACTTAAAATTAAGGACTGATAATATTTATAGGGTACTACTTCCTTAAACAATTTTCTTCCTGTTAAATGCAAATATGATCACAGAAGTTTTATAAAAATCCTATTTTCCATTATAGGTAACTTATAAAGAGGAAGTGGTGAAGTCATCTCTGTAAGGCTGCTCTTTTCCCACACAGTACTAGAGCTTGAAGCCCATAGGGCAGGTCATACTGGGGACAAGCTGGAACCCACAGGCATGGCCTTGAGCCCACAAGGACATATTGAAATCTGTGTCAGCTCTTGTTGCCTGTGACTTTGATGGTGTGGGCATCTGCAGAAACTGAAACCCTTTATCAGAAAAGCTTAAGGAGGATACAGAGGAAGGTGGAACAGTTGCAGGCCCAGGCCCAGACACTGAGTCACACCAAAGAGGAGCCAATGATAAGTAATAGCGTGTATGAACTGCTAAATGATTGCTGCTTCATTTAGTCCTCCAAATCTTGGGCAAGAATTTGCGACTCACCCTATCTGGAAACCGGGAAGGGAATTCTGGGAAATGTAGTTCAGTCTAGACAAGCTGACACATTAAAAAGCCACTAGTGTTTGTCACAGGATAGTGGGATTTCAGGTGACCTTTATATCTTTACATCTCAAATCCTTACAATGAGCATGTGTTCTTTATATGATCTGAAAAAAATATAAAGCTATTCTCTATGAGGAAAAAGAAGTTTTCGTATACTAAAGGGAGTTACAAGAATTAGAGACTCAGCTGGGTGCAGTGGCTGATGCCAATAATCCCAGCAACTCAGGAGGCTTAGGTGGGAGGATTGCATAAGGCCAGGAGTTTGAGACCAGCCTGGGAAACATAGCAAAACCCCATCTTAATAAATTTTTTTAAAAAAAGTTAACTAAAAGTTAATTTAAAAAGAAAAGAATTGGAGGCTCACTATTAAGAATTAGGAAAGAGGCCATATAGAGATGATATACCTCTATGATATATACATCATATATATATCATACATACATCATAGCTTTCATCTGAAAGAGATATAAAAAAGATGCCCATGTTTTTATCTTCTTCTTTTTTTTTTGATCACTTCAACAGTTGTCAACTTTGGCCCCCGGGCTCTAAAATAATCAAGATGAAGAATGAAGTGCTAAGGAAAACAAGTTTCTCTATCACTGTGTATTCTTAGTGCAGAAAAGCAATTTGCAAGTTATACCATCCTTCATAGTCTTAAGAGGCGCTACTGTAAATGATATAACTGACAGCAACAGCAGAATGGGGCTCTTAGGGATTTTCTCCCCTCAGACATCCAAATCCCTTTTTGTAGTGTATGTAAGATTCTGTGTTGACAGACATAAACATATTGAGATAAAGGAGAAACCAATAAGCACAATTTTTAATACCTGTGTGGCATTCTTAAGATTTGGATTTAGTTCTCCAGAATTGGAAAAGATCGGTGGCCTCAGATGGTGCCTAGTCAGGAGTCTCAGAACTATTTTCCAAACTTGGCACTCATGACAGTTTCACCTATTCAATACTTTTCCCTGGGTCTTCCTGGGGTTATGCCACTGTCAGGGTGTTAACCTCACTCCTTTTACCCAACTTGGGAAAACACATCAGAGAGCAAGTGAGTAACAGTGGTAATATTATAGAGATGACCTTCAGTCTGCTGGATCTTAGAAATGGCAAACTTTGAAATTAACCACTAGTAACAAAATATTTGTAATCCCACTTGAGTGCCACTAAACTGTGGTTAAAAAGCTGTGGTCTCCAAAACGGTATACATGTAAAATGTTCATTACCATGTGGGTGTGGGAAGACAGTCTTAGAACTTAGTTCTGGATAAGTCTTTTCATCTCATCATTTAAAAAATAGTGTTTGTCTGTAACAGTATTATTTTAGAACTAATATTACTATATGTATGAGATTTACAAATAGTCATATAAAGGACATACATGCTTGTAGGATTTGTTTTTTTTTTTTTTTTTTTTTTTAGTAACTGGGGTACATAATCAAGAAAATTTTGAGGTTGGGCATAGGGCTCATGCCTGCAGTCCCAGCACTTTGGCAGGCCAAGGCAGGAGGATCACTTGAGCCCAGGAGTTTGAGACCAACCTGTGCAACATGGCAAGAACCTGTTTCTCTGTAAATAAAAAAAACATTTTTAAAAACCATTTACATAAAATGAAACTCATTCTCTTCGTTTAAATGTAAACTTAAGAAAAGAATTAGTGCTCAAAGTTATACAAGATGGAAGAGACGAGTGGTTAAGGAGTTTAAAGATCCAGTGCTTTTTCTATCAGTAAAACCTACATTGAAAACTACTGCAAAAGCTAGAAATAAGTGTAATAAGAGAAAGGAAACAAGGAGACAGTACTGGGATGGGATGGGAACAGCATCTTTCATCGTCCTTGTACAGGTAGTTAGGATATAGCTTCCTGGAAGAGGTTAGGAGAAAAAAAAATTGACACAATCTCTTGGCATTGTGATGTGTTTGGCAATTGTTCTCATATAATAAAAATAAAAAATGCAATTAGTTCTCTATAGCTGACCCTACAGTATTTAGGACAATGAAAGCCACATGTGAGACTGAGTCACTTAATTATATACAAGCCCTAAGTCCAGGATGGAAAGGCAGGGGGTACCTGGAAATGACTACACATGGCAACATGTGGTCTAGCTTCTTTACCTACTGGAATTTTCTTGGCCATGTGGTTTTAGGTCAGATCTTTCCCAAGGGAATAATACTACATATCATCTAAGTCTACACTGTCCTGTGAGAGTCACAGTTTCACAGTTGAACAAAGCCATGGGCAGCTGGAAGGAATATAATGACTCACTGTGTCAGAACTCTAAGGACCAGCATGAATAAGATGGAAAGTTCTGTGATTTTTCTAAATGAATGTGATTGGGAAGAGCAAAATCTGCAATCACTTAGGGGTCTAAACAAAAAAGTCTCCAGAAACGGATGACCCTTGAAGGTCTTATGCTAAGTGAAATAAGCCAGTCACAATAGGGCAGATACTCTATAATTTCATTATATGAGGAATATGAGTAGTCGAGTCAATAGAGACAAAGTAGAATGGCTGTTGCCAGGGGCAGAGGAGAGAAGGTGGTTACTATTTAGTGAGTACAGAGTTTCAGTTTGGGAAGATGGCATAGCTTTAGACATGGATGTAGTGATGACTGCACAATAGTGTGAGTGTATTTAATGCCACTGAACTGTACATTTGCTGGTACATTTTTTTTTTGAGTCGGAGTCTCACCCTGTCACCCAGGCTGGAGTGTAGTGGTATGCTCACAGCCACCCCAGCATCGACCTGCTGGGCTCTGGCGATCTTTCTGCCTTAGCCTTCCAAGTAGCTGGAACTACAGGCGCATGCTACCATGCCTGACTGATTTTTTTTTTTTTTTTTTTTTGAGTTGCAGTCTCACTCTGTCTCCCAGACTGGAGTGCAGTGGCCGCTCCCGGCCACCGTGGCCTCGACCTGCTGGGCTCCGGCAATCTTTCTGCCTCAGCCTTCCGAGTCGCTGGAATTACAGGCACATGCTACCACGCCCGGCTAATTGTTTGATTTTATTGTAGAGATGAGGTCTCACCTGCCCAGGTGGGTCTCGAACTTGCCGGCTCAGGCAATCCACTCACCTCAGCCTCCCAAAGGCGCGGGATTATAGGCTGAGCCACCAAACCTGGCAGATTTTTTTTTTTAATTGTAGAAATGAAGTCTCGCCAAGTTGCCCAGGCTGGTCTCAAACCTGTGGGCTCAGGCAATCCACTTGACTTGGCCTGCCAAAATGCTGGGATTAAAGGTTGAGCCACCGAGCCTGGCCTGCTGGTAAATTTTATGTTATAAATATTTTGCCATAAAAGAAAAATCACAAGTTAAAAAAAAATCACTTAAGAAATCAATATGAAAAAAACCATGTTTAAAAAAAACGCTCTTTTTTTTTGTTTTAAGTCAAGAGGTAAGTACATAGCTCCAAGCTCAAGGTCTAGGTTGAGGACAGTCATGATTAAAGGACAACCAGTTTTAAGAACACTGTCAGATAGACAAGCTACCATGTAGTTCTTTAGTCCATGCCCAGCTCTTCCAGAAGTCCTTGGTACTGATGAAGGGTCATTTTTTTGTTCAGCTTTGCCCAGTCCTGTCATTCATAGTAGACAAATGAAAAGTCCCAGAAACCTGTTCTGTTTGGGCAGGTTTTCTTTTGTTCCAGGCTTCGGTGGTTAATATGCTTGACAAATTTCAGAGTCTCTCTATCTCTGTAGACTAATGCCAAAGAATTGTTTTCTGGATTCACTGTTAGCAGCTGAAAAGACAGATACAATGACACACCAGAACACAGTTTATTCTCAACCCTTCGGCAATTCACCATGGAACAGATGGTTTCTACATCAAGTGCTTAAACTGGGGAAAGGAGGTCTTTTGAAAGATCCTTTACTAGGGGAAGAGTTTTTGCTCCGGCTGTCAAGACATTTTCCAACAAGCCCTATTCTGACACATACTCAGAAAGGTTTTAGTATTGCATTTTTTATCATACTGAAAGATTTGTGGGAATGCACCACATGGCTCATAATTTGGAATTTCTCAGGAGGGTAGAATAAATGCAGTGATTATCCTTCAGCATCTATTCCATACTGAGTATTTTCTACTAGAAATCAGAACCACTGCAAACTAAAGACACTGGTAGAAGGTGATAACATTTGGGTCTTTAAAGAATGAAAGCTTTCTTAAGAACTAAAAAGGACTATAAGAAAATGACTGACAGTGGTGGGAAACTATGGGGGGGAGGGGAAGGGAGATGGGATTAACGGTACTAAATATCTGTCTGGGGATGGGGAGACACCTCTTATCAACAAGGGTGCCTGAACAAAGCATATTTGTATACTTAACCCTTAACTGTACCCCACAATATCATAGTAAAAAATATTATTAAAAAAAAAAAGAACTAAAAAGGATAGTTTGCTTTCAGAAGCAGCTTACCTCTTCATCTTCACCTTTGGCAATATAGGAAGTAAAGCCACCATAATCTGGCTCCCAGCCTTACAAGGGAAAACAAATAGCATTCATAAAGCTCCCACTGCAAGAGTTACATCATCTGCTTAATCACTGATCTCATGGTGCTTAACGGAGGGATTGTGAGTTCAGTAGTAACCAATTCAATGACTTGTGAGCTCGAATTTATCATTTGGCTTATTATCATGGATGCCTTTTTCCCTAAAGACCCAATCTCCTGAGCTGAAATGGAATGTAAGCTTATTTCAATTAATTTTGAATAAGAAAATTAAGAGAGAATTAAATGCTACATATACCCGAGAAGGACAATTATATAAAAGCTGTAGATCTAGGGGACACTTAGGGGAAATTAATGACATCCATCTCTCCATTCCCTAGTCATAGATATAAATCCTACTTTGATTTAGGAGACTGAGATTCATGACCCCCAAGCTCCCTTCTGACTTTGAGATTCTGTGATCTGAGATTCTGGCCAAGGCAAATTACTTCTGAATTGGTTCAGTTGGAGAGGGTTACTGCTTTCTTTCCTCTCTCTTACCTTCACAGCCACAGTAAAGAAGTAAGTCCAGGGCAAATTCAGTCTTGCTGTTGTCATGAATTAAAGTGTAGTGGCCAGTCTTCCAGTGCCTTAATTCCCCTTGGCATGTGGGAACATTTGACTCTAAGAAAAAAAACAACAGAAGGAGGGCCAGAAAATTTTTATTTTTTTGAGTTGGAATTTCACTCTGTCACAAGCTGTAGTGCAGTGGCACACTCATGGCCACCGCAGCCTTGACCTGCCGGACTCAGATGAACCTTCCACCTCAGCCTTCCAAGTAGCTGTAACCACAGACACCCAGCTGATTTTTTGATTTATTGTTGAGACAAAGTCTTGCCAAGTTGTCCAGGCTATTCTCAAACCTCTAAGCTCAGGCAGTCCTCTCACCGTCGACTCCTAAAGTGCTGGGATTACAGTTGTGAGCCACCACACCCAGTCCAGAAAGTTTTTAAAATAACCTTGATACAATGCTAGATTGTAAGGGAGTGATAATTAGAAATAATATGGTAGCAAGGGGAAACCATTCCCATACACCTTTAGCTGACCTGTTGTTCCACCAATTCAGCCTTATAAGTTAGTTATAAATGACTGCCAGAAACTATCGTGGCTGACTCTTTGAGGGGAAAAAAGGTGAATTTTAATTTCTAAAATAATCGATGGAATAGAGATTTTTTTTTTTTTTTTTTGGAGTTTGAATCTCTCACTCTGTCACCCAGGCTAGAGTGCAGTGTGGTATGCTCATGGCCACCACAGCCTTGACCTGCTGGGCTCAGGTGATCCTTCCGCCTCAGCCTTCCAAGTAGTTGGAACTACAGGCATGTGCCATCATGCCCGGCTAATTTTTTGATTTATTGTAGAGATGAGGTCTCACCAAATTGCTCAGGCTGGTCTTGAACCCATGGGCTCAGGCAATCCTCTCACCTCGGTCTCCCAAAATTCTGGGATTATAGGTGTGAGCCACCATGCCTGGCTGGAATAGAGTTTTAAATGCAAAAAATAAACATGAATATTATTTTTTGCATTCTTGGAGTAGAGAAGAATTTTTTCTCAGTATGTCACCACCAAAAGCTAAAACCAAGAAAGGCAAAAGATAGAACTGATTACCTAAAAATTTAAAACATGCTGAACAAAATTAAAAAGTAAACCATTACAACCTGTAGAACAGAGGGTTAATACTCTACATACAACATTTAAAAATAATCAGTAAGATGCCGGGTATGGTGGCTCATGCCTGTAATCCTAGCACTTTGGGAGCTGGAGGCAAGAGGATTGCCCGAGCCCAGGAGTTCAAGACCATCCTGGCCAACTTGTCTCTACTATTAAAAAACAACAACAACAACAAAAAAAAACGAAAAATAGCTGGGCATGGTGTTACATGCCTGAAGTTCCAGCTAACTTGGAAGGCTGAGGTGGAAGGATCGCCTGAACCCAGCAGGCTTGGGCTGCGGTGGCCCTGAGCATGCCACTTCACTACAGCTTGGGCGACAGTGAGACTCCAACTCAAAAAAATAAAATAAATAAATAAATGACAAGAAAGCGAAAAGCCCAAAGGAAAAACAAATATGACAGGCAATTCATGAAAGAAAATCAAATAACCAATAGGGAAACATGCACCACTAATCAACAAAAGGCAAATGCCATTCTCACCTACAGAATAAGCAATTAAAAAAGAAAAAATAAATAGTTTGCTAGGAATAAGGAAAGCATCATCATGTACAATGCTGGTGAAAGTGCAGGTTGACACAAGGTTTTTGGGAGGACAATTTGGCAACTGCCTTAAAATTTTGAGCAATCTTTGATACATCTCTTACCATTCTGAAGGAAGAATGGATAAATTGTTGTTTATTATGACAGTGAAGAAATGGAAAAAATCTAACTGCTCAACACAGGACTGGTTAAAGTCATTTGATGCAATAGCTTGCAGTATTAAGAATTATACTACAAAGCTGGGAGCGGTGGCTCATGCCTGTAATCCCAACACTTTGGGAGACGGAGGCAACAGGATTGCCTGAGCCCAGGGCTTCAAGACCAGCCTGGGCAACTTTGCGAGACCTCGTTTCTACAGTATATTAAAAAAAAATTAGCCGGGCGCAGTGGTGTGCACCTGTAGTTCCAGTTACTTGGAAGGCTGAGGTGGAAGGATCACCTGAGCCCAGCGGGTCGAGGCTGCAGTGGCTGTGAACATGCCACTGTACTTCAGGCTGTGTGACAAAGTGAGATTCCTATTAAAAAAAAATTATACTACAAAATAGCAGTTTTCAAAACTTTAAGCTATGCCATACGTTCTTGAAACAAAAGCTTCTAGAAATGCAATGTTGGAAAGCAGATACGTTTAGGTTGGGGAAGGCAAAAGTTTCCTAACTGAGGAGGGTATGCAGACCTGTAATATTGCTATAAAGGATGTAAAATGACAAGAAAGAGGCTTATAAAATACTAAGTGGGAAAAGACAGATTACAAAATAATGTATATGGTATAATCTCACTAAAAATGTGATATACATATACGCCCTTACATACATGTATGCATATATATGCCCACATAGCAAAAAATCCCGGAAGGATATATCGCAAATGTTATGGCCACCTGTAGATGATTATTATTTTCCTTTTACGTATTTGTGTTCCAAACATTCTGAAATTGACACATGTTGTTTTTACTTTAATTGGTAAAAATACATTAAAAAATTACCAGGTCTATAATGGTTCTGGTTATCTCACTAGATGTGCCCTAGCTATGCCAACATTTAACACAGCTATTGATATGCCCAGCAACTTTATAACTTTTATTAATAATTTTGTAAAGTTTTATGCCTTTTCATCAAGATGGTAAACTTAGTAAATAGTGACTTTTCTCATTCACTTTTGTATTCCCAACTCTGCTTTGGGTCAGGGCCTTGTATACAGTAGATGTTCCATAATAGAATAAACCATCTTTTGCTTATTCATATAGATTTTCTCCCAAGTTGCAAGTTTCTAAGAAATGGAACCCAAAATGTATAGAAGTGGATTTTTTTTTTTTTGAGTCAAAGTCTAACTTTGTCGCCTAGGCTGGAGTACAGTGTGGCACAATCACAGCTCACCACAGCCTCGACCTTCTGGGCTAGGTAATCCTTCTGCTTCAGCCTCCCAAGTAGCTAGGACTATAGGTGGTGCCACCTTGCCCGGCTAATTTTTTTGTAGTATAGATGAGGTCTTACTATGTTGCCTAGGCTGGTATTGAACTTTTGGGCCCAAGCAATCCTCCCGCCTCAGCCTACCAAGGTGTTGGCATTACAGGCGTGAGCCATTGCACCTAGCCCACACACATTTTTTAAAAAGTTCTTGAGACTCAATGGGTCCTCACTCTGATTCATGTTAGGGTCTAGGTATAGCAATTACCAAAGACAATTTACCTTTCAAAGAAAGGCTATCCTGTGTATTGAATAGCAGAGAAAAAGCCACTAGAGTCTAATTTTTCTAGAAGTCTATGGTGACCAACATGAGTGGTTAGTTAGTTTTGGGAGGCCACAGAATGAGTAATGTTGCTTGCAGTTAACATCTCACACATCTCAAGTTGATTTTGTTTCCATGGGTATCCACCCCTTGTGTTTGCTTTCTAACTGCAAAAGATCCTTCTCAAGAATTTAGAGCAGAAACAGGGAGTGGCAAAACTGAGGACAGGGTCAGGCGTGGTGACTCATGCCTGCAATCCCAGCACTTTGGGAGGCCAAGGTGGGAGGACTGCTTGAGACCAGCAGTTTGGGACTAGCCTGGGCAACACAGTGATAGCCTATCTCTACAAAAAATTAAAAAATTAGCTGTGCATGGTGGCACATGCCTGTAGGCCCAGCTACTCAGGAGACTGAGAAGGGAGAATCGCTTGAGCCTGGGAGTTCCAGGCTGCAGTAACCTATGATCATGCCACTGCCCTTCAGCCTGGGCAACAGAGTGAAGCCCTGCCTCTAAAAAAATTAATAAACAAACTAAGGAAAGGAACTGGGTAACAGATTTTCTAATTTGACTTAGTAAATTCTGAGACATCTAAGCTGAATTTGTAGCTAGTCAGTTAATGGCACCAAAATTTTCACAGGAATGTTCCTTCTTAAATTTCCTGGACTTTTCTCTTTAAAAATCTCATTTGTATATGATCAAACTTCCTCTACTTGTAATAATTTCCTTCTACTTGTCCAAATTCAAGCATGTTTTCTTAGGCTGATATTAGTCCTTAAGTTGCTAAGCTTCTTTCCTTTATGTTCTTGTGTTTTAGAGTGATTCTAGGCCAGTCATTTTCTCCACCATTTGTACTATTCTTAGCTTAATAAAATGCACTAGCTGTTCCTCCTACCCTGAATGTTCTTCCCACAGATCCTTCTTATCATTCAGATCTGAGCTTAAATGGCAGCTCCTTGGAGAGGCTTTTCTAGATCACCCATTCACCTCAGAGGCCACTCAGTCATTCCTTATCATAGAACCCTAGCACAATGTTCAGCATAACGCTTACCATTATTTGACGTTTTCTCTTCGTGTTTACATTTAATCTGTCTTCTACTAGAATGTAAACTTCCAAGAGTAAATACCAAGTCTGTTTTTTGTTTTCTAGTTCCTGAAATAGGGCTTAGTGCAGTAAATACTCAGAAGTATTTGCTGAATGAATAAATGACCGAATGGTGAATGGTTAATGGTAAATAAGGAACAATTCTAATAGCAGCTTACCTTTCTTTGTTTCGTTTTCCTCTGGTTCTGGGTCTGTCTGTTCATTGCTCTGTTGGCTGTTGCTGATGATGGCTGCCTGATTATTCTCTGGCTCAGAGGAGCTATGGCTGGTCCCTTCTTCGGTACTCTCAGTAGCAGAGGCTGCTTCTCCCTCTTTTTTGTTGTCAATTTCATCTTCTTCTGAAGGGGCCAGGAAGTGAAGCTTCAGGCCTGTGAAGTTGGATAGTAGCAGGAACAGTGCCTCGGAGTGAAATAACTCCATGCAGCCCTTCAGGATATCAGGAAGCGTACTCTCCTCAGCTTTTTCATAAAACCTGAAAACCAGCATGTCAAGTTGTTCATCAAAGCCACAGATGTAAAATTACTCATGGAATAATAGCTGACCATTATCTGTATGATGGCCACTTGTATACCTAATCCTGAATTGTACCCCAAATCTTTAAAAAAAAAAGTGACGATTAGCTTTGTATCTCTCTTCCTAAATCTTAGAACTGCTTACTAAAGCACACATTATTACAATCGTGAGATATTTGTTAGGGCCTGCCATTGGATGTCCCTGGAAATGAAGCATCATTAGGAAAAATGTCCTATCACTGGGGGTGAGCCTTGCAAAGAAAAAGATGCTGAGTGCGGAAGCAAATATCCCAGATGATGGGCTCTACCTTTTGTTAGGAGGACCTCGGCTGCTCCATTCCACATATCCGTTCTCCAAGGCTTCACAGACCTTTGCAAACTTCTCAGGCTGGAAGAATGAGCAAATAAGGGGGCAGTCAGCAAATCTCCTTAGGACCACACACTGGCAGCAGCTTTACAGAACATCAATCTGGCTGATTCCTAAAAGGTCCAGTCCACTCTCACTTCTTTCACACAAGGTCCCCTGCTCTTGCTTTGGTGAAGCCAAAACAAAGACTGGATAATTCATCAGCTTGCTTTTGCTAAGAGAGTCAAGAGCCATTTTGCACCAATCCCTTTAGTAGTTGTATATTTTATGTCAAATTCTAAACTTCCCAAATTGCTGCATTCATAAAATGAGGATCATAATACAGACTCTAACTCACAAGATTTTGTAAAGAAAGACTGTATTACAGTCAATGTCATTACAGTGACAATCTCTGTGTAACAATACAGATTTTCTAGGTCCCAGCTTATTCCCTTATTTATTTATTTATTTTTTGAGTTGGAGTCTCACTCTGTCACCAAGACTGGAGTGCAGTGGCCGCTCCTAGGCACCGCAGCCTCAACCTGCTGGGCTCCGGCGATCTTTCTGCCTCAGCCTTCCAAGTAGCTGGAACTATAGGCGTGCGCTACCACACCCGGCTAATTTTTTGATTTATTGTAGAGATGAGGTCTCACCAAGTTGCCCAGGTGAGTCTCGAACCCGCGGGCTCAGGAAATCCACTCACCTCAGCCTCCTAAGGCGCGGGATTACAGGCTGAGCCACCGAGCCTGGCTTATTCCCTTATTTAATAAGTACTCTAAACTCATAAAGTTAGGTACAATATAAGAACTGGTTAATCTATTACAATATTCTTCACAAGAGGCTTTATATTTATTTGTTTAATGCAGTTTCCCAAGTAGTCTTATCAGTTGTAAAGATATAAAAAGGGAAGGATCCCATAGCATGGCCTGAGTAAGCATAATTAAATAGGGTTAAACAAATTGACTTACTACAATACTTCTCAAAACCTTAATATGCTAACGTTAGCTATAACATTCTGAAAGAGAGAGACAGTATGTAGAATTGCTCAAGCTTTTTTTATGGAAGGCTAGCTCTTGAGACTGATCCCACGGGACCCATGTTAACTATGAAACACCATAGCAGCATAAGTTATCTCATTTGGCCCTCAGGACAACTCTGCCAGAAAGGCAAGGCAGGTATTATCCCAGGTTAATTGATGATGAAATAAATACCTGGAGTGATTAAGTGAGTTGCTCAGGTTAGTAAAGCCACAGAGCCAGGACATGAATATAGATCATCTTTCCACTATAACAAGCTGCTTCATCATTGTCAAAAATTCATTATAATTACTGACCTATGAGTAATCTATTATTCAAAGTAATAACAAGCACCATATTCATCAGATGAAGACAGAGGTAACTATACACAACTCCTTCTCAGGACAGAAGCTTGTGTATGTGTTTACCATTAAGACTCTGGAGAACTAAGGAATGTCTGAGGGCCTGTTAAACCCAGTAAGCACATAACTGATATCAATGTTAGCTGTTATCATCATTTCTGTATTTAATTTGAAGAAAGGAATGACATAAACATTCTAATCAGAAATAAAACCAAAACTCTCTAGTGATGCCTATTTCCCCATTCAGGAAGCAATTAGCCTACCTTAAGAAATTCCTTCAGGAGAATTTCAGAACTTTCTTCAAACTCTTCCTGAATTTGAACTTGGTAATCCATGTCCAGATAAGTAGGGTTGATCCAATCATACAAAATTTCATGCTTATAAAGAAGCATCAAATGCAACAGGTAAATTAACAATTCCTATAGCTTTTGTTCTTAAATCACTTCATGCTAGTATTAATAGAATACAAGCAAATTCTTACTTTATAAATTTCTCCTATTAAACATAAAGAGCTGGAAAACTGTGCCTGAGAAAGACACTATCAAAAGTTTATGAAAAGTGGAAAGGGGCAAGCTCAAAGTCTAGTTTCATTATTAGGAACAGATAATTTTAAAATCAGAAGAACAAATGATATGCTATAGCTCCTAAGATAAAGATACCAGAAATTTTCCTTACATTGTGTGGGATGTGAGGACTCCGAGGTATGAGAGGTTCAAAGTAGTTGGGAGGTCTGGTCAATGAAGGACCATGAAACCAGCCACTTATAGACAAACGTGACTTTTCTTCAGACAGGACTTCAGACACCTGGAAGGACAAGTCCAGAAGCATATTAACACAAAGAATAAGGAGGGAGACTTCTAGCCAATGCACATGAATTTCAGGATCCTCCATGCCAAGTGTTAAAGCAGCATCAGATAACAAGTCTAATAGGAAGCTGTCATGTTTAGATAATGGGCGATTAAAATGCATGATCCTCAGTATTCTATTTGTGGTTTACAGTCTTTACCTGGTGAAAGGATACTGGAGACACTTCAAAGAAAACCAGTTTGTTCCATGAAGGGATAAGAGACTTGACAATCTGCTTTGGCTGAAAGTGTTCTGCAGCAGGAGAGAGCACATCCATAAATGTGGTTCATTATCATTAACCACTTCCAGGTTGCCTCATTTCACTCTTGACAATTCCCAAATTTCTGAGGGTATCTGGATGTACCCTTCAGATCTTGAAATACCACCCCCTTCCATCTGTTTCATTCAAACTTGCTAGTTTAAGTGGCATCTGTTCTTACCACATCATTCATCTATTACTGAGGAGGTCTGGAGTAAGTTTTTTAAGTTTCTTGGATTCAACCTCTGGTATCAGTTATTCAAACAAAATTTGACTTTCTGTCAAATGGACCAGTTCTGGCAGACTCACAGCCATAGGTAGCTGTATATGCAGTCTCCTCTTCCATGGCCAGTATTCAGAAGCAGGGTCTGAATAGTCTCATCTTAATCAATGATTCTAGTTTATCTCTGGAGTAATGATTAAATCTAAGTTAAAGAGGTGGCTGTTAGAGCTGGCATTCATCCCTTCTGAGGCAGTCACTAGAATGAATGGCTTCCATTTCCTTTGAGGAGTATGGACACTATATAAGGATGGTGATACCAAATCAGTTCAGCTTTAATTCAGAAACGGTCATTGGTGAAAATCATGCACTTGTCTTACCATCAGTGTTGTATAGGTCCAGGGTGCCCCCCAAGCTCCTGTCCCAGGGAGGAACCAGGTACAGAATAAAGGCAATCCGGCGCCCTTCCAGCTCATCATCATGGCAGAGTAGGGCATCTGCAATAGTTGAATGCACACCTTAGATCCCTATGTAGACAGTAAGCGACTGACATCTGACTCTGCATTTATTATAAGTCCACCTGACATGCATCTATAATGGCAGCTCCACCATTAAAATGACACTTCATCTCTTTTACAAAAGTCAATATAGAAAGTTCTAATAACACTGAAGGGTGCATATATAGATAGATCAAGATATTATCACTGACAATACTTTTCTACATATATATTCACTTTTTAAAAAAGCCACCCTACAGTATTTTTTTGTGGCCTTCTTATTACATGGCAAATGTCTTTCCCTAGCAATATATACACTTGATAATCAATTTTAGTGCCTATAGTTATTCTACTATATGGATTATGGGTTTACTCCTTCCCCTCTTTAATCTATTTCTTATTTGTTAATTAAGTTGTTGCTATTTCTTGGCTATAATAAAGAATGCTTTAATGAAGACTATTGAACATGAAACTTTTTGTGCTTGTTTCCATTAGTTTCTTTTTCTTTTTTGTTTATTTTGAGTAGGAGTCTCACTCTGTTGCCCAGGCTGGAGTGAAGTGGCATGCTCATGGACACTGTAGCCTCGACCTGCTGAGCTCAGTTGATCCCTCTGCCTCAGCCTTCCAAGTAGCTGGAACCACAGGCACATGCCACCACACCTGGCTACTTATTTATTTATCTATTTTAGAGACGAGGTCTCGCCAAGTTGCCCAGGCTGATCTCAAACCACTGCACTCAGGCAATCCTCTCGCCTCTGCCTTCCAAAGTGCTGGGAATACAGGTATGAGCCACTGCGCCTGCTGTTTCCCTTAATTTTTTGAGCTGAACTTCTAGGAGCCATTCGGTGGGGCTAAGAAAGGTAGACATCCACACAGGTAAGAGAGGGAGGGAAGGCTCCAGTGAACTGGACCATTTCCATTTACACATAGGGAGATTATTTTAATAAATATTGAAGATAATGGGAGTCAGGTTTTTCACTGTTGAAGAAAGGAATTACAAATATGGAAAAGGAAAAATCCAGAATAAACCCTGTGGTGTTCAACTGGAATTGGCGGACTTAATGTGAAATCAGTTTCTTAAATCTCTTTAAATATATATAAATGTATACAAATCCAAGTGTTTGTGTGTGCATCTATGTGTGTATATGTGCAAACATATATTCACTATTTCTTTCTACTGAAAGGGTCTGGGAGCAGTGACTTCCCAATAGCAAAGATACTTAGAGTCCAGAGCTTGATGTTTAAGTATCATTCTTTACTAAAAGGAGCCAGGGTTTTTTTTTAAAAGAATGGCCAACTCCAGGTCATTCTAGAAACTGGGCATGGAAAATACAAGAAAAGCCTGGAAAATCTTAGAAAGTAAGAAATAAGGCTAGGCACAGTGGCTCATGCCTGTAATCCCAGCACTTTGGGAGGCAGAGGTTAGAGGACTGCCTGAGCCCACAGGTTTGAGACCAGCATAGGCAACATGGCGAGACCTCATCTCCACAATAAAATAAAAAAATTAGCTGGCCATGGTGGCGTACACCTGTAGTTTCAGCTACTTGGAAGGCTGAAGTGGAAGGATTGCCTGAGTCCAGCAAGTCAATGCTGCAATGGCCGTGAGCATGCCACTGCACTCCAGCTTGGGTGACAGAGTAAGACTTCCACTCAAAAAAAAAAAAAGAAAGTAAGAAATTAAAAAATAATGGGGACACAGAAATCAGTTTGAAGGGGCTCTCCTTAATCAAATCAGGGACAATGTAAGCATCAATATAATGACAGTAACTGACAACAACTCACGACATAAAGCGTAATCCATAAGCCCATACCAATATTAACAAATGAATAAATGAGGAAAGAGAAAGGTTTTCTTTAGAGTAGAATGACAACTAATAAACGTAAAAAAATGGCTGTATTACAAAATCACCGATTGACAACCTTCATAGTAGTAATTTAGCTAGAAACATTAAAGAGTACTAAAACAAGTGAATCAAAGGTTGGTGACAAATAGGATATTTACATAATCTTGAATCTCCCCACAAAATACATATTGACAGGGAAAAGTAAACACACCTGACCTCAGTTACCACTTGAATCACGCGATCAAAGTTAATATCATTAATAACATGACATTGATCACTAATAATAGAAACTGTGTATCACCTGATAGGATGCAGTGAAAAGAACACAGCAGTGATTCTGTAACATTCCTGCCAAAAATGTATGGCCTGAATCTAATCCTGAGGAAAATCTGACAAACCCAAACTGAGGAAAGTTTTACAAAATAACTGGTCTGTAAGTCTTTAGAGGCATCAATATCATGATAGTTCAGAAAAGACTGAAAAACTGTTCTAGACCGAGGGAGACTGGAGAGACACGACAACTAAATGCAACATGCAATCCTGGACTAGATCGTTTTGCTATTAAGGACCAATAATGAAACTTGAATGGGGCCAGTGGATTAGATGGGAATAATGCACTGATATTAATTTTGTGATTTTGATGGTTTATTACTTTCAGATAGAAGAACGTTCTTGTTGTAGAAATTACTGAAGTATTCAGGGGCTGTGGAATATCATGACAACAACCTACTTTCAAGTAAAATAGGAAATAAATTATTTGTACCATCCTTGCCACTTTCCTATAAATTTGAAATTACTTCAAATTAAAAAAGAAAAATAAGAACGGTAAGTGAATGTATACAATATGGCTTTTCATCACCAAGTCACCCTCCAAAAGTTGTGAGCAACTTATACTTCTCTAGAATAGTGTATGACTGCAAACCCAAATCAAAATTCTATTTAGTAATATAAAAAGGAACTGCAAGGATGTATCCCAAATGGGTGACAATGGGTACCTCTAAAGAAGGGGACAGGGAGAAGGTGAAGGAGATTATCGTGGTTTATACCATACACTTGCATATTGCTTGAATTTTTTCCCTTAAGAATGTACTCACTTATAGCAGGGCATGGTGGCTCACACCTGTAATCCCAGCACTTTGGGAGGCGAAGGCGAGAGGATTGCCTGAGTCCAGGGTTTCAAGAACAGCCTGGGCAACTTGGCAAGATCTCGTCTCTACAACAAATCAAAATATTAGCCAGGCATGGTGGCACGCACCTGTAGTTCCAGCTACTTGGAAGGCTGAGGAGACAGGATCACCTGAGCCCAGTAGGTCGAGGCTGCAGTGGCCACACTCCAGCCTGGGGCAACAGAGTGAAACTACTCAAAAAAAAAAAAAAAAAAAAGTATCCACTTATTATCAAAATAAAAAAACAGAGAAGGATAAATAGTATTGAAGGAGATGGCTATACCTTAGAAATTCTAAGACTAGAGTTTATAATATCACCTCAGCATATCCTGATACTGTATGCAAAGGTGGTATGTATATATACACTGTCAGCATTTTCCTGAAAATATGGTCAGTAGCTTTCATCATATTCCTAATAAGCACCACTGCTTATCTTTCAATAAGGTGGATAGTTCTGTATATGAGCTGGGTCCTTATTAAAGATTCTGATGTTTTGCAGGGACATTTAATCTAGTATTTTGAGACACTGATGTTATCTTTCCATAATTGTTGAGTTGCCTTTAAATCTTACAGATATCAGGGCTTTATCTCCTTACCGGTGAATTCATACTTGGCACAGGACATATCAATGGTTGATTCCAGGTCAATTTTAGAAATGTCAGAAAGCCAGGCCCGGAAATCTTCAAACAAAATTCTCCTAGAAATGTAAACAAAAGATAACATGTTATGCCATAGTGTGGGTGCTATTTGGATCTAGTCCACAACTGCTCTTTTCCTAGAGGTCACATTTTATTCAAGAAATCTTTTTTCAGATCTCATTCAAGAGACCTTGAGAAATGTTTTCCAGTTTAAACTTGCAAAGTTTAAGACTAATGTTCCCAGAGAAATAAATGTAAATCTCTGTGTACTGTGACATATTTTTGTTCAAATGTTTCATTTTATTCTCTCAGTATTTTCTTCCTCCAAAAGTATGCCACACCCTATTGTGGCAACAGTTTGGCCTCCGCGTAACAATGAATCTAAATCACTGATTTTCAGATACTTTTTCTGCACTAACATGGAAAGCTCAACTGGTTTTCTTTATATACTTCACTTCCTCACACTGACCAACTGTCTGACACCAGCTGGGTGTCTTACAATTCAATTCAATTCTGAAACTATCAGCGTGTAGCACAGGTTAAGATCTCAGTCCAACAAGACTGCCCTGTCACTCACTTCAGGCACCAATCATAAGTTCAGGTTGTGTTCCTGTGCTTTTAACTAAAAAGTAGTAAACCTGAGGTTCCCATAGCTCCCTCCTCTGGTATGATAATTTCTAGAATGGCTCCCAGAACTCACGAAAACCATTTACTTAACTAGATTACCAGTGTATCATAAAAGGATGCAACTCAGGAACAGCCAGATGGAAGAGATGCACAGGGAAAGGCATGGGGAAGGGATATGGAGCTTCCATGACCTCTCCAGACACACCCCCTTCCAGCAACTCCACATGGTCAGCAACCAGGAACTCCTTCAGTGAGGGTTGTTTTTATGAAGGGTTCATGATGTAGACAAGATTGGTTAAACAATTAACCATTGATGATTAACTCCCAGGAAGTTAGGGAGGTGAAGCTGAAAATTCCAACCCTCTAATCATGTGGCTGGCTCCCCTGACAACCTGCACCCCCATTCTAGGGGGCTTTCCAAAAGTTACTTCATTAACATAAACTCAGGTGTGACTGAAAGTGGCTTGTTATGAATAACAAAAGACACTCCTTTCACCTTTAGGAAATTCTAAGGATTTTAGGAGCTCTCTGCCAGGAATAAAGACCAAAACCAAATGTACATTTATTATAACTCCTCATCCAAATCCACATACTTAAAATTCCCATAAAATGCAACTGTACTGTTCATTACTAAGTATCAAGTCTCCAGGCTGATTTCTAGGATTTCATTATCAAGTACCTTTTTATTTTATATACTACTCAAAGGAAAAAAAAAAAACCATTAAATATTGTGCTCAGTCAGTCCAACCAGAGGTGCCATGTAACTTAGTTTTGATTTGGAGTCTCACTCTGTCACCCTGGCTGGAGTGCAGTGGCATGCTCAGAGCCACCACAGCCTCAACCTGCTGGGCTCAGGTGATCCTCAGCCTTCAAGTAACTGGAACTACAGACGTATGTCACCATGCCCAGCTAATTTTTTGATTTATTGTGGAGATGAGGTCTCACCAAGGTGCCCAGGCTGGTCTTGAACCCATGGGCTCAGGCAATCCTCTCACCTTGGCCTCCCAAAGTGCTGGGATTATAGACGTGACCTACCACGCCCAGCCAGTAAATTTTAAAGGCTGAGTTGCATTATATAGAATGGGCCAGGGCAGCAAACTGCTGACTTAGGCTTCAGATAACATGGGTAATAAATACTTCTGTGAAGTCTTAGTACGTTAAGCAACTTATTCTGCATTATCAATGCCTTAAATTCTTTTACAGGTAATAGCAGCTTCCACAAATTTATTCTGGAAAAAGGTCTTCTACTCATTCTATGAAAATGACACAAGGACAGGCTTATTTTCTGTCACTGTTAGCATTTGTTAATTGTGTTCATGAGGGAACTCACAGAAGTGGGAAATTAAAAGATCAGCTTTTGTAAAGATCAGGGAATTGCAGCTCTTACACCATCTGGCTATGGCCCTTTCGGTGTAGACTGTAACTCAGTCCCACATGGAATGCTTAGCAGAGGGGTATTGTGAACTAAGGAGATAATGCCTTAAAGCATGACAGTTTCTCTTTAGGGGGAAAATACTCTAAATAAATATGAAACATTATGAGTTAGTTAATTATCAATACTTAAATATTTAGAAGAAATAGCTGGTGTAGGCTAACCATTATATATAGAAGAGCTGCACAGAAAAAAGATAATTAGAGAAAATAATTCATGTCATATAGATGAAAAACAGCTATTATAAAGTAGTATGTGCTCATTAAAGATCAGGGAAAGAATCCTATATTAAATAGAGTTTTGTTTGTTTCTGAATCGGGGTTTCACTCTGTAGCCCAGGCTAGAGTGCGGTGATATGATCATGGCTCACTGCAGCCTTGACCTTCTTGGGCTCAGGCAATCTTTCTGCCTCAGCCCCACCAAAGCACTGGGATTACAGGTGTGCACTATCATGCCTAGCTACTTTTTTTTATTTTTACTTTTTATAGAGTTAAGGTCTCATTATGTTACTTAGGCTGATCTTGAACTCCTAGGCTCAAGCAATGCTCTCACCTTGGCCTCCCAAAATGCTGGGATTACAGGAGTGAGCCACCACACCAGGCCAAGAAGTTGTTATAAAGAAAAATCTATAATCCTGGTAGCCAAAATTAAACACTCAATTTTTCCAATTCTTTTACTTTGTATACATGTACTCCAATGTAGGTGTTTGTGTATCTTTTTTTTTTTTTTTTTTTTTTTTGAGTTGGAGTCTCTCTTTGTTGCCCAGGCTGGAGTCCAGTGGCACGCTCATGGCCACTGAAGCCTCGATCTACTGGGCTCAGGCGATCCTTCTGCCTCAGCCTTCCAGCTGGAACTACAGGCACATGTCAACACACCCGGCTAATTTTTTGACTTATTGTAGAGATGAGGTAGCTGGGATTATAGGTGTGAGCCACTGTGCCTGGCCTTGTTTGTGTAACTTTTAAATTGGGATCGCACTGTGTGTATTGTTTTAATTTTTTCTTTTGACAAAAATGTTTAAATATTATTATTTTATAAATCACTAAGAAAACAATGTTGCAAATTAAACTAGGACACAAAAGTGATCGTGTGAAACACCAGATCTTAGAAATGTTAAAATGTTTTTTCTAAAAAGTTTCTTGCCTGGGTGTGGTGGCTCACGCCTGTAATCCCAGCACTCAGGGAAGTTGAGGTAGGAGGACTACTGGAGCCCAAGAGTTGGAGACCAGCCTAGGCAATGTAGTGAGACCTCATCTCTATAAAAAATAAAATAATTAGCCAGGCATGGTAGCGCATGCCTGCATTCCCAGCTACTCAGGAGGCTGAGGCAGGAAGATTGCTTGAGCCCAGGAGGACTAGCCTGTGGTAAACCGTTATCGTGCTCTGGGTGACAGAGTAAGACCTCAGACTCAAAAAAATTGATGAAACAGATGATAACTCTACCATACTCGAATTAAAATTCATACACATTGTATTTATTGGTTGTATGGTTTTCGCTTTATGCTTTGTACCACTATCTATATAAAGTTCCATGGCTGACCATTTAATGTATATAATTTTTAAGTATTATAAACAATATTACAACAATCTTACATGGAATCTTTGAGTATATCCTTAATTATTTTCTCAGCACAAACTTTTTTTTGCTGTTTTTTTTTTGAGTTGGGGGTGGCTGGAGAGTGCAGTGGCACGATCATGGCTCACTGCAGCCTCGATTTCCTGGGCTCAAGCAAACCTTCAGCTTCAGCCTACTGAGTAGCTGGGACTACAGGTACCTACCAACATGCCCAGGTAATTCTTTTATTTTTTGTGGAGATGAGGTCTTGCTATGTTGCCTAGGCTAGTCTTGAACTCCTGGGCTCAAGTAATCTTCTCTCTTTGGCCTCCCAGAGTGCTGGAATTACAGGCATGAGCCACTGCGCCCAGCCTGACAAACTCTTATAAGTGGTTCTACAAAATATATGCATAATTTTTAGGGTTTTGATACATCTTTCAAACCATCTTCTAAGAAAAACTGCAGTGGTATATAAACGTATCTATACCTGGGTTTTTAAAAAAATATTATCAACCTAACATGTGAAAAACGGTATCTTCGTTGTTAATTTGTTGATTACTGACAATGTTAAACATTTATTTTATCATTGAGAACTTGGGCCTTGGAATCAGACAGACTTGTGTTTGTATCCCAGCTCCATTTTAGGCCAGGTAAACTTAATTTCTGAGTCTGTCTCCTCCTCTACAAAATGTGATAATAATGTTAACAAAGAGCAAATGACATAACATTTCAAGTGCTTACTTCTCTGCCTGGCACATATTAGGCACTCAATAAATACCATATGATTTGATTACTTGTTTACCTTAAAGCAGAGATGTGAGGCTCTCTTCTCTTCTTCAAATCATCAGACTTGACCATGAAAAAAGAAAAAAAGGATTTCCTTCATATATTAGACACACAAAGGAGACTTATTTAGTGAGTACTCTGGCAGTAGAGCATTAGGGCTAAGAGCCTGAAGCCAGACTCTGATTTCAGACTGCCTAGGTTTTATATACATCCCCTCTATTTGGTGGTTGTGACTTAGGCAACAAATACCTCTCTATTTGGCCTCTCTATGCCTTATTCATTGAACAACATACTTAAGTAGTTATGATAGCGAAGTTCACCTGCCTGTCGAGGGAGACAGGCAACAAATACAAAAAGTAGGTTATTAGTATGGAGAAAGTAGTAAGTGCATAAGGGAAAGGAAAAAAAAAAAAAAAAAAAACACTGGGAAAGAAGGATAGAAAGTACTGAGAGTAGGAGGGGTTTGCAATTATAAGTCAGGTGGCCAGGGCAGACTTTGAGAGGTGAAGCAAAGACTTGAAGGAAGCTGGGAAGTGTGGCAAAAGAATACTGAGGCAGAATCACTGAAGGCCCTAACCCTGAAGCATGCCTGCCTTATTCGAGCCATTGTAAGGGGACTGCATAGGCAGAGCAGAGAGTAAGGGACAAGCAGTAGAAGGTGAGGCCAAAGAGGTCATTATAAGTACTTTGGCTTTTACTCAAAGAGGAGCCATTGGAACTTTGGAGCAAAAAAGAGTAACATGAGATAGAATTCACAGAAAACAACAAAAAACTCCTACCATTTTATCTATCTGAAAGTATGTAATCCAATTTTAATATATTCACAATGTTGGGTTACCCTCAGCACTAATTCCAGAACTTTCTAACATTTGAAAAAGAAACCCTTGTACATTAGACAGTCATTCTCCATTTTCTCCTTCCCCAGGCTCCTGGCACCCATCAATCTATTTTTAATCTAGACGTATTTGTCTATTCTGGAACTACATATAAATGGAATCATACAATATGTAGGCTTTTGTTTCTGGTCTTTTTCACTTAGCATAATTTGTTTTTCTGAAGCTGGGGGTCTCACTCTGTTGCCTAGGCTGGAGCGTAGTGGCATGATCATGGCTCACCACAACCTTGATCTCTTGAGCTCAGGTGATACTTCCATCTCAGCCTCCCAAGTAGCTGGAACTACAAGCACGCCACTATACCCGGCTAATTTTTTAATTTTTTTGTATACAAGGTCTCACTATGTCACCCAGCCTGGTCTCAAACTCCTGGGCTCAAACCATCCTCCTGCCTCAGCCTCCCAAAATAGTAGGATTACAGGCATGAGCCACCATGCCCAGCCCCACTTAGCATAATGTTTTCAAGGTTCATCCATGTTGCAGCATGTGTCAGTATTTCATTCATTTTTATGGCTGAATAATATGGGTATATTGTATGGGTATACTACATTTTGTTTATGCATTCATCAGTTGATGGACATTTGGTTGTTCTCACTTTTTGGCTATTATAAATCACGCTGCTATTAACATTTGTGTACAAGTTTTTATGTGAATATGTTTCTCAATTCTCTTGGGTCCATTTATACTTTATTTTTTAATTTTTTAATTTTTGAGTTGGAGTCTCATTCTGTTGCCCAGGCTGGAGTGCAGTGACATGCTCATGGTGACTGCAGCCTCGACCTGCTGAAGAAGAAAAACCGAGAGCATGGTAACCTGAAAGTAAAGTGAAAGAATGTCTCCAGGAGACAGGTGTGATATAGTGCATCAAGTGCTGCTGAAAGGTCAAGGATTGAAGTGATCAGATTTACTAATGTGGAGGTTGTGAGTGACCTTGACAAGTGCAGCTTCAGTGGAGTGATAGAGGTGAAAGCCTGGTGAAAGTTGGCTTATCAGAGACTGGAAGGAGAGGAAATGGAGACAGTGCAGCCAACTCATAGGAATTATACTGCCAAGGGGAGCAGAGGAGTGGGGTGGTAGCTGAAGGGGAAAACTAGGTCAATAACTTTATTTTTTCTTATGATGAGAAAAACTAATTTAAAAAATATGTATGTTGACAGGAATGATTAAAAAAAAGAGAAAAAACTAATGTAGTTTTCCTATTTGCAAAACAGGAATACTAATCTACTCCTTAATGGGATTGTTATGAGGATGTTTTTCTTTTGTTTTTGAGTCAGTATCTTACTCTGTCACCCAGGCTGGAGTGCATTGGCATGAGCACCAGGTTAAATACAGTTGAAACTTTAAGTGTGTGCCACCACAGCCAGCTAATCTTTTTTTTGTTTTTTTTTTCTTGAGTTGGAGTCTCACCCTCCTGCCCAGGCTGGAGTGCAGTGGCACGCTCTCAGCCACCGCAGCCTCAACCTGCTGGGCTCAGGCAATACTTCCACCTCAGCCTTCCAAGTTGCCAGAACTACAGATGCATGCTACCACGCCCAGCTAATTTTTTGATTTATTGTAGAGATGAGGTCTTACCATGTTGCCCAGGCTGGTCTCGAACCCGTGGGCTCAGGCAATCTTCTTGCCTCGGCCTCCCAAGTGCTGGTATTATAGGCTTGAGCCACTGCGCCCAGTCTCAGCTAATCTTTATGATTTTTTTAAAAATACAGACAAGGTCTTGCTATGTTGCCCAGGCTGGTCTTGAACTTCTGAACTCAAGCAATCCTCCTACCTTGGCCACCCAAAGTGCTGGGATCACAGGTGTAAGCCACTGCATCTGGCCTTGCTATGAGGATTTAATGAATAAATATAAAGCACTTAGCATGGTGTGAAATATGCACTTAATTATGCTTGCTTTAAAAAATATAGAAGATTGGGCAACTCTTAATGACAAATTTGGCTACGGAGGACTGGAAGATATCAGAGATCCAACATCAAGTCAATTACTACCATAGGCAAAGGGATATGGGCAAGGAATGAAGGGGCAGGAGACTGAAAGACAAGGTCTCAAATCTACTGTTTTAAGGCAAAGAGGGCCCATCCAAAAGTGAGCATGGTAAAAACTATTCACAGCAGTTTCACCGAATTCCCATGTGGATCCAAAGTAATAGCTGCTCCTTTTCCTCTTTTCCCCATCACCAGGTCCCTTTTTATTATTTAGTCTCTGATCAACTTCACAGTCAATGAACAATTTCTACCCACCAAACTGCATTAAGTAAAAGCTACTTTGATGTGCCAATTCTAGTAATCAGAGATGCATATGGCCCTAACTCAATATAAGGTCAATATGACTAGTGACCAGTTTGTATATATGACATAAAAATGTATATTATCTAGAAACAAACTTTTACACTGTTAGACTAAAATCTCGGGTAAGGCCTTACAGCAGAAAACATTCTGTATTTTAAGTTTCCATTTCTCTCTGACTCTCTGAGCCATTGTTAAGTCTCTGTTTCTCAAAAGTAACCATGCAGCCTTTGTTCCTGTAAGCACTCTGTAAGCAGTTTCTCCCGACAGCTAAAGATTAGCAACCAAAATTGTTTTAATAGTTTTGTTTTCCTGCCTCTAGCCAGGCAGAACGTGTCTAGTTTCACTATGTGTCAAGACTCTCAGCTTGCCTCAGCCCCTGGCCATCATCATGACAATGGTGCTTTTCCTTGTCCAAGAGTATGACAACCACTGTTTGATTTATTCACTTAGATCAAATTTTCTATCAGGAAGTTTAGAAATATATATATACACACAGTTCAGTTATCTACATATAACACTATGTGAACCTGTGCTTGCTACTTCACTTCCTTCTGCTTGGCATTTGCTCTCTAATATGCCTGTGTATGGTAGTAATGAAACCCACCAGGCCGGTTGGAGAGTAAAACCAAAGTACTCTTACTTATTTCTGGATATACTTTTGCACTTTGGATTTCTGCTTTAAGGTGTTGACTTCAGTGTCCGGCAGACTTCAGTGGTAAAGAACACATTGGGTTTGTCAAACACTGTGGTTAGTGTTCTCTGCTTCTCACTATTTAGCATTTCATAGAGGGCTCTGGTACCAGTGTCCCTGACAGAAATATTTTTTACTGCTGGACATTAAAATAAATAGTATAGATTTTGATTGTTTTGTTAAATCATAGTAGGTTAGTAAAAAAGGGAAATTTTTACCTTAAGTAAAATTCAAAATAGCTTATAATATATAGATTAGTCATTAGGTATTATAGAAAACAGTTTGCCAAACTATTGTTAAAATCATACACCTGTTATTTAGATGTAAGCTTTGTAAGGCACGATATGCATCACGGAGTTTTCATTGTTGTTACCTTAAACAAAAATCTTTTGTGAAGAACGTTATGCATCATGCGATCTGTAAACCCCTAGCAAATATTTGATTATTGCTGGATATTGTAGAAAATGGTATATAAGCTGGCAAAAGTTTGAATAAAATCGGAACAGTCCTGATCAGACTGAACCCAGAAGAACTGCCTCCGAGTTGTTTCTTCTCGCCGTGTCCTGACTCTCTGGTGCAGGCCCAACCCCCCTCAGGTTGGAGCCGGTCTCCGACACTTGAGGCTTTCTTTTTTTTCTTTTGAGTTGGAGTCTCACTCTGTCACCCAGGCTGGAGTGCAGTGGCCCACTCACAGCCTCGACCTGCTGGGCTCAGGTAATCCTTCTGCCTCAGGCTTCCAGGTAGCTAGAACTACAGGCGAGAGCCACCACACCCTGCTAATTTTTTATTTTTATTGTAGAGATGAGGTCTCACCAAGTTGCTCAGGCTGGTCTTGAACCCCTGGTCTCAGGCAATTCTCTTGCTTCGGCCTCCCAAAGTGCTGGGATTATAGGCTTGAGCTACTGTACCCGACCCCTTGAAGCTTTCTTCTAAAGGATTTCTGAGAGTGATGTACTTCATGTACTGAAAACTACATCCAAGAGGTGGAAAAACCAACCACCTACATTTCTATACCTAGACTGGGCCGTGTCTTCCAAGAGTTTTATTTTTTATTCAAAACAAAACAAAAAAAACAAGCTGGGCTCGGTGGCTCAGCCTGTAATCCCAGTGCTTTGGGAGACTGAGGTGAGTGGACTGCCTGAGCCTGTGAGTTTGAGACCCGCCTGGGCAACTTGGCAAGACCTCATTTCTACAATAAATAAAAAATTAGCTGGGTGTGGTAACACGTGCCTGTAGTTCCAGCTACTTGGAAGGCTGAGGCAGAAGGATTGCAGGAGCCCAGCAGGTCGAGGCTGCGGTGGTCAGGAGCGTGCCAGTGCACTCCAGTCTGGGTGACAGAGTGAGACTCCAACTCAAAAAAATAAAAAAATTAAAAACAAACACATACACACACACACACACACACACACAGCTTAAAAAAGGAGAAAAGACTGGGTAGTGGTTCATGTCAAGTAATTCCAGCACTTTGGGAAGTTGAGGCAGCAGGATCACTTGAGGCCAGGAGTTTGAGATCAGCCTGGGCAACATAACGAGACTCTGTCTCCGCAAAATAAAATAAAAAATAATTAGCCGACTGTGGTATGCACATGCCTATAGTCCCAGCTACTAGGGAAACTCAGATGGGAGAATTGCTTAAGCCAGAAGGTCAAGGTTACAGTGAGCTAGGATTGTGCCTCTGCATTCCAACCTAGGTGACAGAGAGAGAGAGTGCATGCCTGTCTCAAAATACAAATAAAATTAAATAAAAAGATAAAGTCTTTTCTGCCAAATTAAACTGCCCACCAAAAAATTGCATGGATTTAACTCTGTAGGACAAACTGCAATGCAGAGCATGACGCAATACATCAAGCCACCTGAAATAAAGACATGAACTCAACATTTTTAACAATAATTATATTCCAATGTACAACTCTCCTCATATCACTTCCCCAAATGTATTGAACTCCTTTTTTTATAATGTACTTACTCATTGGCTTAATTTATTTCTTGACTATCTGTCACCATCACTATCACCCTTATTATTTTAGAGTTTTTTTTTTTTTTTTGAGTTGGAGTCTCACTCTGTCGCCCAGACTGGAGTGCAGTAGCTACTCCCAGTCACCGCAGCCTCGACCTGCTGGGCTCCGGCGATCCTTCCGCCTCAGCCTTCCAAGGAGCTGGAACTACAGGCGCGCGCTACCACGCCTGGCTAATTTTACTGATTTATTGTGGAGATGAGGTTGCGCCAAGTTGCCCAGACGGGTCTCGAACCCACGGGCTCAGGCAATCCACTCACCTCAGCCTCCCAAGGCGCGGGATTACAGGCTGAGCCACCAAGCCCGGCTATTTTAGATTTTAAAGTCTTAAACAGAGTAGAAATTGTCAGTCTCCCATATAATAATTATGGCAGCTACCACATAATTAACACTCAGTAAGGTTAGGTTAAATGAGGGAACACATTTTTTTTTTTTTAGTTGGGAGTCTCACACTGTCGCCCAGGCTGAAGTGCAGTGGCATGCTCACAGCCACCACAGCCTCAACCTTCTGGGCTCAGGTGATCCTCTTGCCTCAGCCTTCCAAGTAGCAGGAGCTACAGGCACGCGCCACCACGTCCAGCTGATTTTTGATTTATTGTAGAGATGAGGTCTCATCAAGTTGTCCAGGCTGGTCTTGACCCCGTGGGCTCAGGCAGTTATCTTGCCTTGGCCTCCCTAAGTGCTGGGATCATAAGCGTGAGTCACCGCACTGGCCTGAAGGAACACTTTTAACAATGTCAAGGCAAGGACACTCTAAGGCAAACCCAATCTAAAAATCTCAAGTCTAAGGGTATTAAATGATTTTATAGACAATGAATTTCTGAGGTGGAGGAGCTAATGTGACAGGGGTATAAATACCTGCTGGAATTTATATAAGTCATTATATTTTTCATGGAAGTCCAAGTTCAAAAGTTCCTTCTGAAGCCCTTCCAAGAAATCTTGGCTTTGGATGAAGTTTGGGATCACACAGTGAAGAAAGGGGTCCATGTCCATGGCAATGGCTTCTGTTGGAAGGAAAACATTATCTATGATTTGGTGTTTCTTCTTTTTGTATTTTTGACCCCCATATATAACATAACAGAGAGAATTCAAAAGGGATGGTCTTGAATTTTGGGGAACCTAATACCTAAAGACTAAGATTTGGGGGAAGAATTGTAAGCTCTGCCTTTTCTTTTTAAAGATGCTGTGCTTAAAATACTAGTCCTTAAACTGAATACAGGTGTTGTCACTAAGTCAAGGTTTTTTTTTTTTTTTAGTTTTAATAATTACTTATTGAACGGAATGTATTTTAGATTCTTAATTCATTTCCTCCAAACTAGAGTAGGAATAGCAATACTGGCTGGCAATTTCTCGTCAACCTTGCTTTTTTCACTTTCCAAGTTATTGCCGGAAGCATTAAAGAAATAAACAAAACAGTTCAGGCATAATTTCCTCTAATTTCTTGATTTCGAACCCAGCATTTAACCCACTGCCCCTGGTGGCTAGACTACTACCCCTCTAATCACTACCACCACCAGCCAGCAGGTGCTAGGCCTAGTGATGCTTTACATGCATTATTTCATTTAATCGTCTCAACAACTCTGAAGTCGACATTATCACCATCCCCATCCTACAGATGAAGAAACAGAGATGTCTCTGAGAGTACAGAGCTTGCACTTTCAACAATAAGCTATCACTTTCTAGGTGCATCCAGAGCCCCAGACAGGACTCACCCCTTCAAAGCACTTTACAATGGAAACAAAAATCACAGCAAACTTTAGAAGGGAACACATGACACATTAAGCAGAGTTCTTATATAAGAAGGTGATATCTGAAGCTGAGGCTGGGATTGTTCAATGCAGGTTCCTTCCCTTGGTCAACAAGTGTTTGTTTTCACAGGTCATGCAGTGGAACTACAGTCACATAAAAGCTCAGGAGTCTGCTATCTGGCAGCTCACAACAATGATCTGACTAGGCTACCAGGGGACAACTGAGCATTATCCTTGAAGGAAAAATTACATCAGCCACTCACATATTTGTTCAAATGTTTACTGTTCCTTAGAGAAATATTTATTGATGCCTACAAGCATTATTCATCCCGCTCAACAGCTTTCCTAGGTAAATACTGTTAACTATCCCATTTTACTTAAGGAACTGGGCCAAGGGTGGAGGCTCACATCTATAATCCCAGCGCCTTGGGAGTCTGAGGTGAGAGGATTGCCGGAGCCTACGGGTTCGGGTTAGAGACCAGCCTAGGCAACTTGGCAAGACCTCATCTCTACAATTAAAAAAAAAAAAAAAAAAAAAAAAACTAGCCGGGTGCGATGGTGCACATCTGTAGTCCCAGCTACTTGTAAGGCTGAGGCGGAAGAATTGCCTGAGCCTAGCAGGTCAGGGCTGCGGTGGCCGTGAGCTTGCCACTGCCATCCAGTCTGGGTGACAGAGTGAAACTCCGACTCAAAAAAAAAAAAAAAAAAAGAGGAACTGAAGTTTTAAAAATTAAATCCAGCCAGGCGCAGTAGCTCGCGCCTGTAATCCCAGCACTTTGGGAGACGGAGGCAAGAGAATTGTCTGAGTCCAGGGGTTCGAGACCAGCCTGGCCAACTTGGCGAGACCTCGTCTCTACAATAAACCAAGAAATGAGCCATGCGTGGTGGCTCACGGCTGTGGTTCCAAGCTACCTGGAAGGCTGAGGCGGAAGGGTAGTCTGAGTCCAACAGGTCGAGGCTGCGTGAAACTCCGACTCAAAAAAAAAAAAAAAAAAAGTTAAATCCATTGCTCAACGACGTAGAGAGGATTCTAACTCAATCTGATTCCAGAACTCAGCTACCAATTTGTATGCCCTTTACTTCCCGAAACTCCGGCCTACATTTCTTCCTTTTCTCAGGTTCCTAAATTCCAACTGAATTTGGAACGAAAGGGAGCAGCAGCCGAAGCAGGAAGGTGGAGGTGGCCAAAGTCCTCCAAGAGCCTTTCTTTTTGTGGTCCCGCTGCCCAGGGCTGGGCTCCAGTACTAGGATTTTCTCCCAGACCCCCAGGCTCCTGCCGCGGCTCCGCCCTCACAGCACCGGGTTACCATGACTGAATGGCGTCCTGCTGCTCCAGGCCTCGGCCACCTGCGTTTTCAAGGTTTCCTCTGTGACAGCGACCGAAAACTCCGCCATCGCTCCCTTCTTTCCCTTCTTTCCTACCCGGGCCGGGCCGGGCTCCGCTGGCCGTTTCCCATTCATCTCTTCCTAAGGTACAGAACCACGCCACACGGATCGGGCAGCTACGTTCCTACCGAGACTACAATTCCCGAACGCCGCTTTTCCCGTGTTCCCCAGTGCTACCCAATGGGAAGTACCAAAGTAAGAGGAGGCGGAACCTATGCCCGAATGACCAATGGGAGCTCCAGATATTGCAGTCATTGCCCCAGGGATTGGTCCAATGGTGCTCGGTCTGGCGGAGCACCGCCTCTCTACTTCCTGCCGCCAGAGGCTCCGGATTCACTTCCGCCGTGCTTGCACCTCCTCTTGCGCTGTCCTGTTAATGGCGGGCGGTGGCTGCTGAGCGGGTCGTAGATAACCGCTGCCCTCACGGGGAAAGCCTCCCCTGCCTCCCCCTTTCTGCTTGCCGCCCGTGTCGAACCTCGGCAGCATGTCTGTGGTGCCGCCCAATCGCTCGCAGACCGGCTGGCCCCGGGGGGTCAATCAGTTCGGCAACAAGTACATCCAGCAGACCAAACCCCTCACCCTGGAGCGCACCATCAACCTGTAAGTGCCGCCCGGCCTTCGATGGCACCCCTCGCCTGTGAGCTCTTCTAAGAACGCTTCTCTTTCCAGCGCGCCCCCGGCTTTTCGGCGAGCTCCACGCCTCTGCACCACCCCCACTCCGGCTCGCGGAGGCGCGCCTTCCTCGCTCGCACGGGCCCCCTTTTCCTTCTTCAGCCCAAGGGGTTAGAGTCCCACCCGATGGTGTTCGATTTCTTTCTGAAAAGGAGACTTGTTACCACCCCCCTGTATTCAGTCTTTATGGGTTAAAACCGAAATTTGCCTTGAGCTCATCCTTTCCCCATCTCTCTAGGGGTAGCCAACTTCAAGATGTGGTTTTTGTCCTTCCAGTCCGGTGTTTTTGCTTTCACATCACGTATTTGGTATTGCTTTGTGCGTTCCTATTTGGTATGAATGGTATAATCTAGTGTAATTTTGGCAATTTTCAGTTTCCTCTAACCTTAAGCTTTCGAGATCTAGCTGTCATGCGTAGGTCTAGTTTTTCCTTTTCCTTTTTTTTTGAGTTGGAGTCTCACTCGGTCGCCCAGGCTGGAGTGCAGTGACCGCTCCCGGCCACCGCAGCCTCGACCTGCTGGGCTCCGGCGATCCTTCCGCCTCAGCCTTCCAAGGAGCTGGAACTACAGGCGGTGCTACCATACCCGGCTAATTTTTTGATTTATTGTAGAGATGAGGTCTCACCAAGTTGCCCAGGCGGGTCTCGAAACCGTTGGGCTCGGGCAATCCATTCACTTTAGCCTCCCAAGGCGCGGGATTACAGGCTGAGCCACCGAGCCCGCCTAGTTTTTCCTTTTTAAGTGCTACATAGCATTTCAGTTTATGAATACATCAGTGTATTCATTTACTCAGGACTGTCTGTCCTGCCCCATGCATTCACGTGTTTCCAGTGCCGCGGGGACCGCATGCCAGCTCTTAGTAGGTCCCACCTTGGGATTGTGGATGTTGTTTTAGTTGAGCTTTCAGACTAGAGGGGAACAAAATGCTGCCCCAGAGAACCTATTGTGGGCTAGGCTTTATTGTTTCAACACCTTTCTGTTTAAACACTTCAAACCATTGCATTTTAAGGTCACACTCAAAAGTAATCTCGCTGTAGCAAGTAATTGGCCTTTGGTATGTGTCAGGCTCAAGATATTATCTATATTTCTTTTTATCGGTTCTGAGAGTTTGTTTTTGAGGCAACTTATGCTGACACTGTCAGTTACCAGTTTATGCTAGTGAGTGTTCACAAAGTTCAAGGATTTCCTGGTGTTTTGGTGAGATACTTTAGGTGCTTCTCTGTTTTATATTCAAATAAATGAACTTTTTCCTTTTCAAAGCCAAAAATGATATGAAATTGAAAAGATGCTTTATTATTTTTTTATTTTGCAAAACAGGTGTGACTTGGAAATTTAGATAATAGAAATACTGGTTTTATAAAATCTGGAATTTGTTGATTGTTATGTATATACAAATTAATCTCTGTAGCTATTACATTAACATAGTAGCATTTTAATTTCATATCACTTTTTAAAAAAATCCTCATAAGATTCCCATCAAATGGAAAAGGAAATGTTCTTTTAAAAAATATGAAAGCACAGGTTCTGGATCACGTTCAATGGTGATCAGAGGTAGGACCCATAGTTTTTTTCTTGTTTTGCCTTGATTGCTGGATTAATTTGCATCATGCCATTATGTAAAATTCACTTGGTGAAATAGTTATGTTTTCAGCAAAATATTTTAATTTTTGCTCTATTAAAGTTATGAGTTAATTTCTAGTATTTTTTTCCTATGTAAGTTCAATATTCAGAAATAATAATGGTGTTGTGAACTTAAGTTCACTTGGGGGTAACGATCGATTAAATTGAAGCAAGTTCCCACTTTTTCAATATATTTTCTTTTTTCCTTTTCTATTTTTTTTTTTTTTTTTTTAATTTGGAGTCTCACTCTGATGTTCAGGCTGGATTGCACTGATCATGTTTCCAGGCTACAGCAGCCTCTACCTGCTGGACTCAGGCGATCCTTCCACCTCAGCCTCCCAAGTAGCTGGGACTACAGGTGCCTGCCACCACCATGCCCGGCTAATTTTTTTATTTATTGTAGAGTTGAGGTCTCACCATGTTGTCCAGGCTGATCTTGGACTTCTGGACTTGGGGAGTCCTCTCTCTTCAGGCTCCCAAAGTGTTGGGATTACAGGTGTGAGCTACCACGCCTGGCCCCAGTGTATTTTTTAGAAAATAATGCATGAGGCTGGCACAGTGGCTCAAGCCTGTAATCCCAGCACTTTGAGAGGCAGAGGCAAGAGGATTGATTGCCTGAGCTCAGGGATTCAAAACCAGCCTGAGCAACATGGCAAGACCTCAGTTACAATAAATCAAAAAACTAACTGAGTGTAGTGGTGAATGCCTGTGGGTTCAGCTGCTTGGAAGATTGAGGTGAAAGGCTCGCCTGAGCCCAGCAGGTTGAGGCTGTGGCCATGAACATGCCACTGTGCTCCAGCCTCGGTGACAGAGTGAGACTCTGACCCTCCCCCCCAAAAAAAAGAAAGAAAAAGAAAACATTGCTTGAATGCCTACTTTGTACCCGACACTGTGCATAATGCTGGGTATATAGTGATGAGAAAGTAAGATGTAGCCCCTGCTTTATTAAGCTTGTATGATGAGTTCAATAGGTATATCTGGGCTGGCACTCTGATTTCACAGCTGAAAATTCTGACATTTCATTTTGATACCTCTTTACTGATGTGGGAGCCGGCTCTTGCAATAGAGATGTGTTATGGTTATCCCCAATTCTTCCTAACTCAGATTGTGAGACCTAAATGTTAATATATGTAAAACTTTTTTTTTTAATTGCCTGGCACATCATGCTTTGTAACATATTTGCTGCTTTAACGTTGGCTGTGTTAGGTTTTATTGGATCTACTGGGAAATTTCTTTATAATCTTTAAAGCATCCTGGAAATGGTATATTTCAGTTATTTTAGAGCTGTTTCATTTATGCCCACAACTTGGCTTCAGGAATTAAAGTAACTGTTTAAGTTTTGGCAACTTTGATTTGTTCCTCTTTCAAGAATAGCTGAGTGGATTAGATACATAGTTGACTGTTGATGTGAAAGGCTTTTGGTAGAATAGGTACTGTGGGTATAGGCAAGTGTGGCCAAAGTATTCTTACTCATAGGCTTATGATCAAAACCTTCTTATACTGTAAGGCTTATAACAAGGGGTTATATTTATAACAAAGGGTTACAAATTATAAATGTGAGATTTTTGACTACCTTGAAAGGAAAATTTAGTCTTTTATAAGGCAACATGAAAACTGTTTTTAGCAGTATGGATCATATTTTTAATTCTTGATAAAGGAAAAATGATGGGTAGAGAATCTGAATCAGGAGAAGGGAAGAATAAAGATACTGAATAGACTAAATGTGGAAGACTAAGATGCCTTCTTAGAAGGTATGGCGGGGGTGGAGAAGAATGTAGTAGAGTTGGTCTGAACAGGAAAGGGTATGATGCCAGAAAAATCTGAGAATAGTTGACTGAGAGAAATAAAAAATAACTGGAGGGATGTAAATGGAAAATGATGATGGCTTAGTTTATGGAGAAAGGAGATTAGTCATTTGCACCCATAATTAATAGAATTTCTGATTATATTAGTAGAGGAGCCCAGGGGGATATTAACCAGGTTGGTAATGTTGGAATAATAACTATGGTCTAAGACCAGACAATAACTGATATCCAGGTAACCACTTTAAGTATTTAAGGGCCTCAAGGATAGTGCTATGTATGCTTGAAAGTTAACAGTATGGAGTAGTAGCTTGATCTGACGGAAACTCAGGCTTTAAGAGTCCAGAGAGCAGGATTCTAATCTCCACTGTTTTATTAGCCAGCTTTGTAACTTTGTACAAATTCTATGTCTCTGAGCACAATATATGCACTTTAAAAAAAAAACAACAACAGTGATTTCTTTATACTATATGGTTGGTAAATTATGGTCTTCAGTTTTCATGTTAGATATTTGTTTTTGGATCACAGGTACCCTCTTACCAATTATACTTTTGGTACAAAAGAGCCCCTCTATGAGAAGGACAGCTCTGTTGCAGCCAGATTTCAGCGCATGAGGGAGGAATTTGATAAAATTGGAATGAGGAGGACTGTAGAAGGGGTTCTGATTGTACATGAGCACCGACTACCCCATGTGTTACTGCTACAGCTGGGAACAACTTTCTTCAAATTGTAAGTTGGAAATTAACAGAAAGACAACTTTTAATAGGTTTGCTGTTCATGCAGTTTTGGAATAAAATTTTAGCCCTTGGTCATTTATTTCAACAAGTACTTCTATTATTGGTGACTTTAGAGACAGTCATGAATAATTTTTCTCTAGTGCAGTGTTTATTTAGTTAGTTATCTGCATGTTGATGTTAATGATTGAGCTTGGTAGGAACCCTGTGGAATACATTAGTCCAGGATCAATGTCTAGATATCATTGTGGCATTACTAAGAACAATTGATACTTCTTTCTTAGGATGAAGTTTCCTATTCTTAAAATGACTTTTTATAGATAACAATTCAGTTTTTACATTTAAGCTCATAAATCTCTTAATGAACATTTGGTCCATAACTCTTTGGCCAGATTATACCATAAAGAAAGGTCTCAAATACTTAGATTGAAATTCTTGAAAAATGTCCCATTCTTCAGCCTAAAAAATGTGGTCTTCTGCACTCTGGGCGTTTCTGGATTCCATATCACCAGATAGCTTCCAAAGGAGATTGGGATAAACTGGTGGTCAGCAATTATCTTTATGCATTGTTGTGTATTTTGTTTGTTTAAAACTAGGGTTAGTCTGGTGAATTGACGTTATGAAATCAACTTTGTAGTATATTCTTCCTCCTCCCTTTGACATTTGTTTTGATTGCCTTACGTTACTGAAACGTGTAATTCAGTTATTTGATAGAATTAACAATTGTTACGTTTTTTCTGTTATCCCCAAATTGTATTAACTTGAAAGCTGAAATTCTTAACCTTTACACAGACCTGGTGGTGAACTTAACCCAGGAGAAGATGAAGTTGAAGGACTAAAACGCTTAATGACAGAGGTATTTTTCTGTTTAGCCACTTTGATGGTTTTATTGTCCATCTGTATACCATCACCTTCATGGTTATTAGGCTTTTCATGTCTCATATAAAGGATAACTTTATTTTTAAATGTTTAGTTTTCAATAAATACAACTTAAACTTCAGAATGTTCAGTGTTTATTTTCTGTGAGTTGAACTTATACTTGTTTTTCTTAACATTTAAAAAATTGAAATGTGTAACAACAATAGTAAATAAAAGCCAACTTTTACTGAGTACTTTCTACTTTCTGTACTGGACACTGTTCTAAGTGCTTTACATGCAATAACTCCTTTAATCATCACAACAATTTAGGAACTAGATATTAAGTTTAAATAGCTTATTTGTTATATAGCTGGTGTGTCGTGGAGCTGGAGATTTGAATGTAGATAGTTATGTTGTAGAGTAGGCCTTTATAGAATTTTGACAAGAGAAAGCTTCCTGGTATACACCTATTCATTTTTGCATGGTTCGTTTAGACTTTGCCCCCATTGTACTAGATTTTTAAAATTCATTCCAATCTCTGCCTCTGAAAACTTGAGAGTGTGTAGATACCAGAGACTTTTGAGATTGTAAATTGTTCTTATTACTAAATAGCTTATTTTTTTAACATGCAATTATTTCCATTAATTCAAAATTAATACACACTACAAAAATTTTGGCAAACACAGAAAACAGAGGAGAAACCAAATTGAAATAACCTAGAATTACAGTGGTAATTTTACCTCTGTTGACCTTTGATTTATCTTTCTAGTATTTTTCAAAATGCATTGTAACTCTTAGGCATTATGCTGTGCTTGGACTTCATTTATATATGGTAGATTGAACCTACCTGCCTACCTCTGCTTCTCTTCAAAACCCCACCAGAAAGGCGATAAAGGGGTACCATTAAAGAGCTATAAATCCAATAGGATTGAGGGAGAACAAAATGTGACAATAGTAGAAAAAAGTTTTGAAAGCTAGAAAATAGGTAGGCAAATTATAACTCAGCCCAGCAAGAAGGCAGTCCAGAATTCGGCACTGCAGAACACCAGAAAGGCTGAGGAGTTGGAAGTACCAGGTACTGTGAAAGTGGGGGCATGTGCGAATTGAAAACTAGACTGGTCGAAAATCTATGTAGGATGTATTTAGACAGTCAGAATATCCCTTATCTGAAATGCTTGGGACCAGAAGTACTTGGGATTTGGCACTTTTTTCCAGATTTTACAATATTTGCATTGTACTTACTTGTTGAGCACCCAAATCCTCCAGTAAGCATTTCCTTTAAGCATCATGTTGGTGTTCAAGAGTTTTGGATTTTCAAATTTGAGATGTTCAACCTGTGTATTTATATCTTCCCTATTCTGCAAAGTTAGGCAAAGACTGGTGATTTATTCTCTAGCAATGCAATCAGAGAACACCTAGCAATGAAAAAGTTTAGGGGATGGGGAGAATAAGTAAAGGTTTCTGTGAGCCTCCTGGACTTCTGCTAGGCTGACAGAATGTTAACAGGCTTACATACTTTAGGCAGAGGGTTGTAGGTTCTGTTTCTGGAGAGAATGATCAGTTCAGATGATGTTATTTGGGAGTTGTCTTCTTTCATTTAGTGTTGCTGTGACTGAATATGTGAGACAGGTTAAATTATAAAGAAAAAAGAAGTCACCGGGCGTGGTGACTCACGCCTATAATCTCAGCATTTTGGGAGGCCAAGGTGAGAGGATTGCCTGAG